TCCCACCCTACTTTGGCATTGAAATCTCCTAACAAAATTTTCATAGGGTACTTTGGGAATTTATCAAATACACGTTCCAGTTCTTCACAGAATCTATCCTTTATGTCATCAATTTTATCTACTGTTGGGGCGTGAACATTTGTAACAATGATATTACACCAGCGTCCTTTACCCAATTCATGATTTTCATTCCCCTTTCCATAGAAAAATGTATAGTCTCCTGCTGGTGCAATGCCACCTACATCCCATCTGACCTCCTGTAATCACACTAAATATAACTTATATTTTAAGATTTCTTCTGCCACTGCCCTGAGTGAACCTGTCCTATACAAATTTCGTACATTCCAAGTGCCACATCTCATATCCATTTTCATTAGCTTATGTCATTTATCCAAGGAATCTGTCCAGGTCCGAGGCTTTGTGTTCATTTTCGTAACATAATTATTTTTACGGTGAGGAGTTGCTAGCCCCACACCCAACCCCCAAGCTGGAGAGCCACCGCTTGACGGCTGTCCGCGACTGCTTATTCAATACATTCGCACCTTCCCTCAAAAACTGGAGGGTGTCTCCTCCATCCGCAACCTGTGGACAAGCCATGCCGTAGTGACAGGGACCCACCTCACCTTTCATGAAACCTGGTGGCTTCATTACTCTGCTCATGTGATCATGGAATGGAACCTGTCCTAAGCCAACTGAATCCAATCCACACTCTCATACCCCATTTAACTTATTCCATTGACACTGAAAAATTCATAACATAGTCAGTGAAGGATTATTAGTCCTCCTGTCTGATCCCCACACTGGAAGACCACTCCTTGACAACTGTTAATTCAGTGTATTTGTACATACCCTCCAGACCTGCAAGCCTCGACCCACAACTTGAGAACATTTCTGAGGGTGGTCCATCATCAAATAGTGATGCAGACTGTTGTATCATCAGAAATTTACTAAATTCTATTTTCAACACAGTGAAGCCAGTTCACTGTTTTCCTTCCATAAATCTATATGCCTGTTCTAGGAAGTGAAAATGGTAGAAGAAAGGAGAGGCCCTATCCCTAGGGCTTTACATTTTAAAGAAGAATGTACGGTTGAAAGAAACATGATCCCTTTAGTTTTGCAGTGTCATATTACATTCAGACAAGCAGTCAGTCCTTTATATAAATAATACACAATATTTTCCAACTGAAATTACAAAATAAAAATAAAACTCTCAGTACTTTAAGACTTCCACATGATAACTGTTATGTCACTGGGCTAACAGCTAAATTAATGTGGCCACCACGAATCCATTCATGCACATAATAATTCAGTCATGCTCACTTAATTAAGAATATTTTTTTCTGCATGTCTAACCTGCAAGAGGTGCCATTTTGTTTTCTGGCTGAGAGAGGTCTTGATCCTTCTGGCCATCACAGTGAAGCTATGCAAAGGTGAAAGAACTCGAGGCCATGTTTGCTGCTCCATGGGACAACATAGCCTCGAGTTCCTTCAACTTTGCTGCTAGTGTTTGGTTTTCTGTCTGTAGAGCTTCCACACATTTTACTAGGTGCAGATTCTCCTCAATGCAATGCTTTAGCCTACAATAACACAAATACATTTGGTAAAAGTCGCAGAAATGGAAAGCAACAATGCCCAAGAGAATTTACCACACAAGTCTCATCACCTTGGTCTCCCATACTGATTATGTGAGAAAGTGCTACAGCCTGCAAGACATGAATAAACTTATAGAAATCATGAATTAAACTTAAAATTGCAACTGTAAGAAATCATAGTTCTTCAGTATACTTCAAATACACCTGACTATGAAAATTGTTTTTTTTTTGTCACCATGCGACAGGAAAGTGAATTCACTCACTCACTGAGTGCGCCCTTCTTGAGAAGCCGCCAATTGTGAAGCCACACAAGAACTTCCCAGCATTCTATGGAACCCAAAATTCATTACCATGTTCACAAGGGCCCTCCACCGGTCCCTATCCTGAGCCAGATCAATCCAATCCATACCATCCCACCATATCTCTCTAAAGTCCATTTTAATACTTCCACCCACCTATGTCTTTGTCTTCCCAGTAGTCTCCTTCCTTCTGCCTTTCCCACAAATATCCTATATGGATTCCTCCTCGCCTCCATTCATGCAACATGCCCTGTCCATCTCATCCTCCTTCTCTTGATCATTCTAATTATACTTGGAGAAGTGTACAAGTTATGAAGCCAGGAAAGTAAACTAGGTAAAAAAAAAGTTTATGCCACTGATATTCAACACAATTTCCATACAAAAGTTCCACCTGTCTTGCTATACATGAAGAACATTACAAATATGTGACATTTTTCACAGCAATGAACATAAAAACTACAGTCTTCTGGGATGTAATTCTGTACAGCCTCACAGATAATTACCGTGAATATGGAGGCAACAGATTCCTCCAAAGTGGTAATTGTCTACTTAGTTTTCTCTGTGTTTACTTCTAGACCAACCTCTATGCGTATAGGATATTGGTGGGAAAGCCAGAAGGAAAGAGACCACAGGGAAGACCAAGGCATAGGTGGGTGGACAATATTAGAATGGATCTTAGAGAGATAGGATGGGATGGTTTGGATTGGATAATCTGGCTCAGGATAGAGACCAGTGGAGGGCTCTTGTGAACACGGTGATGAACCTTCGAGTTCCACAAAATGCTGGGAAATTCTTGAGTAGCTGCAGAACTGGCGGCTCCTCAAGAAGGGCTCAGCTCCATGAGTGAGTGAGTGAGTAAGTAAGTAAGTAAGTAAGTAAGTGGTAACTGTCTATGGGTCTACATGGCGTCATATCCCATAAGATAGTAAGTAATGTGAGTATATAACTTCTTTTATTTTCACTGACATATCAAATATAAAATATTCTGCAAAACAGAAATGGTTTGAAAGCAAATAAATACACAGAATATATGTCCAGAAATAAAGCTGAGAGCCATTAGCTACTTAAAATTAACTTGCCTGTGGAAGGAGGGTAAGCACATTTCTAAAACCCTTATGATGCCATGAAAACATCTGGTGTCATGAAGTGTACAACTGCTTTACCTACTAACAAATGTGTAAAACTTCTGAAATAACTGCATAACTCTAGTCAGTTTTAATGCAGCAATTAAAAGTCCTCTATTACAAAACATGTCATAACCATAATGCAAACAGCCCTTCCTTATTCTCATGACCTTCCATTATGGCATACTGTGGAACCTTCATTTAATATTCCAAGATTTAAAATTTTCTCATGTACCAATCATTTTTGATGATCCAAAGTCACTAATCTCAGTGTGAAATCATTTCACACCCTCCTCAGTTTCAAGTTCAGATTCACTGAGTAGCACCTCATAAAAAAACCTTTTATGGGAGTTTTACTGCACTAAAAAGCAAATGGGCTATATAATCTGCTTGTTTTGGCACAAGGGAGAAGAAGCAGTTAAATGTTTACCTATACAAAGTCTACCAGCCCCCTATGTGCTGTACAGTCATGCCTTAAAAGATGTAAATATTTAGCCCTGTTGCATCATTCATCTGTTGTGCAACAATGTTATAGCAGCAACTGGAATGCAACTTCATATTGTCTGTGTCACTTTTATTACTACTTAACTGCTTATTCAAGAGGTCCCTGTTCTTCTGTTTTTGTAGCTTGTATGATTGTATCTGATATCTAAGCTGCTGGGTTCAGGGTTTAGCCATGTTGTTTGTTGAACATGTCCCAATGTATACTGCAGTCATCATCTTCATGGTAAATAGGACAGGAGGACAAAGAGGACCAATATCTAGGTCTCTCAGTGGAGGTAATGATGGGGCATGGTGTTATCCAATGAAAAGGGGCTATGTGGTTATGAAGGACTGGAGCAGAACAGGTGCAACCAAACTGTTAACATTTAAGAGCCTAGCGATACCGTATGGAGACCTTTAAATTGTAGCCGAGTGGCCGTGCGACACCGTATGGATATGCGCAGTCCATGCATGCGCACAGTGTTTTAAAATCTAATTTTAAGATAGAAATTCTTGTTCTACTTACATTATTTTGGGGCGCCCGCTTTATAAGTAGACAGTCTTCCCTCCTGCGTCATGTATTTGAAAGTTGCATCTAACTGAATGCAGAGTCCGATGTCGCAATTCATGCACTTTGTCCGGATGTAACTCAGTTTCCCACGTGAAGAGCACACACGACACCTCAGTCTCGTATTAGAGGAAGTCAGCCAGTGATGTCGAGTGGCCTCCTATAATCGTAACGCTTTTAAAACATCACAATTTCAACTATCCACCATGGCCTCATTTCACATGGAAGAAGCCGAAATTGAGAGGCCGCTGATAAATGACATCAATTCAGAATGCGGTACAGACGACTCTGAAAGTGGCGAGGAAGCAAGGGGGCTATTCCAAGAACAGTACCTCTGTGTGGCTAGTCCAAGATATACACAATCAGAGTTTCTGAAGAACAAAGTATGATAAGACTTCGCCCACACTCGTGCATACAGAAAGGTTCCAATGTGACTGGAGAATATGCAATACAAACATAAACTTCCTCCCCTTTTGCCAGATAAGACACAGTAAGACAGGCTGTCAGCAGCACACATTTATACTGCAGAAACTGTAACCCACTGAGGCTAAGGAATGCACAGTACAGAAGCCACACTTCTGCACTCACATTTACCACCCCTACATAATTATGGAGGGGCACGCGGTAGCGTAGTTGGTTGAGGTCCTATGCTACAAGCTGGAAGGTCACAGGTTCAAGTCCCGATGAGGTCACTGGAATTTTTTTCATTTGAACTAATCCTTCCAGCCAGACTATGGCCCTGGGGTCGACTCAGCCTCTAACAGAAATGACTACCAGGAATTACTTAAATAATTTTCCTAGGGAGTAAAGCGTGGCTGGCGCTTAGGGCTGACAACCTTACCTCCATCTTTGAGCCGACTGTATCGATAAAGTGGGACCCTCAACATTTCACAACCCTATGGGCCTTCATGGCCTGTTACAGGGATAGCTTTACTTTACTTACTTTTAGATAATCAGGGAATCCATCAAAACAGACATGGCCACAACTTCAACCAAGATGGATACACCCATGCAGTCTGGCTGCAAGTCTTCTCCAACCCTTCCTGCCCACAAGGTTCACTCCCATTGGAAAACACCATGGCCAGCATTACTTCTGCTGTAAGCCCTACATACCAGCCCACTTCCTCATTCATCCTGAAGACAGTTACCACAACGAACACCAAAATTATATACAGTCAGGAGCTCAGTACAAACTGGCCACAACAAGCTGATGGACAGAGCAGTAATATATAATTACCCACATTAAACCTGGGATTACAAGATTTATAAATGTTTCAGTTGTAGTCTATCATAATTAATATCATATCAACATCTTTATACGTGTGTACTAATTTCAGCACAGTAATAACATCTTACATTTTCTTATTTCATGTATATAATCACAACTAAATCTCTCTGCCCAAGGGAAATTCTCTAAAAAAAAAAAAAAAGATGCTGATAAAATACGTACTGAAGAATGTTTGCATCCAGGGCTAATCCAAGAGGAAGCACAATAGATCACTGAAGGTCGCAGTGAAGGGGCCGGTTTCTATGGCCCACCCCTTACTTACATACATACATACATACGTTTGCATCCTTGGTAATATAATATGAGATTCTTACCTCTCTTCCAAGTCATCCATTTATCCCTTCTTTCTCCTGCGTGAATCCTGTGCTGATATCTTATTACAGATTCTTCTTCTAACCTTTTTAAGTTCATGCTCTTCATCTTTTGTGAGAGGTTAATGAGAAGACAGTCTGACGCCTTCTTTTTCAAGAAGTCGTTTCTCTTCCGCTGCAAAGGAATACTTTAAGCATCAGTTACAGTACATGAGACACACAAAAATTATTTAATTTTGTTAAGTAAAATATACTTCTCAGTGGCCAATGCTTTCCTGGAACTGCATTTGCACTTTAAACTTACGAAGTTCACACTGGGATAAAGATTACTCTTCAAAAAATTTACTTGAAACAAACTGCTACATACTTCACATTCTAAGACAAATATCATTTAATAATACAGAAATTCGAAAGTTTCCAGTATGTTCATAATAAAAGAGCTCAGTGACATTAACACTAAAGGTTCAATACCAATTGATGAATGAAATATTCTGATTTACTGAATGGAATTTATATCATGACGGCAATAAACTCTCTTTTAAGTCACTTGCACTCACAAATTCAAGAGTGATTCATATGAACTTTCTGGTCAAAAACTACTCATTGAAAGATTTGCTATGAAAGGTGCAACACATACATCATAGGAGATCGTTTTACAATCTGCAAAACTGCATGCTTCCTTTGTAAGACCAAACCTCATTTACATTACGTTACTATGAATCATCCTCAACTTATTCAAAACCTCTTAAACGTTAACACTTCTGTTGGTCATTCTTACGTCAACTGAAGTCTTGGATGATGTGATTTTGAATCATCACCCGTTTCTTTTGGTATACTTCCTTTAGAAGAAATACTGGATGATGCTGGTACTTCTGCTTCCACTGCACTTGCAGCAGACAGAAACCCAACATCATCCAATATCTCCTCTAAGTTTAGAAAACACTCCATGACATCCTCTGGTACTGATTACCAGCTTTCTTCCCACAAAACAAAAAATAATCGTTTTAATTCTGTTTACCAACACTGACAAACGCAATTAAATTTCTCTACAAGAAATGTAACTTACGGCCATCACTTCAACGTATTTCTCTTCACTCTTGGTCGTTACAAGTGTGTGAAATTCGACCACATAAGTAAATTTTGCACAAAGGAAAAACATCGCTTCTCATGCTTAGAAGCAAAACATGAAGGGTCTAATTAAAGAATGCCTAAATTGTAACGGTGACTACAGAGTAAACAGCGAGCAATGCTCGCTAATTAAAAAATAGGAAAATTCAATCAAATTATTGCTCATAGAAATGTAGAATTTTTGGAAACACGAAAAATTGTAGAATAGTGGTCACAACACTGACGGTCGAACCCTGCATTCTCTTTAGGTGCTGAAATTACGTGGGTACCCGGAACCAAATATTAGGAACCTCAAACTCAAAGAAGACGAAAGGAGTGGAATAATATTGAAAAAAGCAAAAACAATAAAGTCCCAAGCAAACGACTGGATGGAACGCCGCGAGAGAGCAATGGAAGAAGATCACGGATGTCATCTAAACAGAGTTCAAACAATACAGAGCAAAGGAACAGCTCTAAATTCAGATAGTTTTAGAGAAATCTTTGGGCGAATTGAAGTAAATTGAGATGGAGGACGATGTCAAGAATGTATTGCTGACGATAATCAATTTAGTAATAAAATTCGGGGACGATAAAGCAATGGTCAGACATATGCTGAGAGTCGTAGAACTTCACGAACAAAATTACAGTAAAATTAGACGGGAATGAACCATTTAAGAAGAAAGCAATTTTCTGGGATGTGGAGCAGTGTAGATATTGTGTTAACCGACGATTCGGAGGAACAGATCGCATCAGTCTTCAGGGTAGAAAGAAGAAGAAGGAACCGCCTCAGCACGGAACCGGAGCGAGAAAGAACTCACAGAGAAAAACCGAAACGGTCGAGACGAACTGCATACGAACTCTATGATTAGAGGGGTGCGGGCCTACAAGGTACATCATGATCATCATGATCATAAGAGAGGAGTGTTGAACGGTCTGGGAAGTAAGCCAGCAGTTAGCAGGCCCGAGCAAGTACAGAAATCGTGTCGTGGCCAGACAGGCAAGTTTAATAAGAGAGCGCTAACCCAGAAGTTTACGTGACTACAGGGTGATAAATCGTATATCTGTAATAACCACATCTGTTTGAATAATAAATCTTAAAACTTCTTGTTTAATTTCATGAGTGCACAAAACTACTCATGTAAATTCTTCTTATATAACGCAACTGCTTTAAGTCGGTAATGTATGCTGATCTGTATTTTTGCACTCGATGAAACAATAAGTTTTATGATTTTTTAATCAGACAGCGGTGGTTATGACCGATATGCCATTTAACACCGTGTAATCCGCTGAAAGTAAACCGACATTATGAAGAAACATGCCAGGACCGAAAATAAGCCAAAAATGACATCAGAGTAAAAGGGGCAGTAAGCAGATTTGTTACCTGCTTCATGTGCCTCCGAAACGTCGGACGTTCAATGAACTGCACAGCGTTATATCCCAGAAGAATCTCAAATCGTGCAATAAATATTTCGTTCCTAAAAAAAAAACAATTACTCTATGCACATTGTGCGCATTCCCTTATTATATATTGTGACATGTTGACCCCTACCTCCCCAGCTGCACGTAGCTGTAACGTAGCGCTCGCGTAATAGGAGAGTAATCACCCCGCAACAGTGTTAACAGATTAATGCGATTAGGGTTACAAAGTGTGAAACCCCGCAACTGCGAGATAAGTAATTGTAGCCGTTTCTTGTAGATTGTTGAATAAACCAATTAACGATCTCTACGGCGTATTCAGTAACAAGACACGTTACACTGGTGTCAGAAGTGTTGTGAACTTAAACACGCCACAAATTGAATTGTTGTGCATCGAATATTTTACTGCTACAAGACTGAGATGCAGCAGATGATGGAAATGCTGGCCAGAATGGACGCCAACATGAAAACCCATCAAGAAGAGATGAGGGCCGACAAGGAAGAAATGGAGGCCAATAGGAGGAAAGCCAAAGGGGATTTCCTGGCGAACTTAGAATCCACTCAAGAAAAAGCAAATATCATGCTGGCAACCTTATACGCCGATAGGAAAACTGATAAAGACGATATGCTGAAAGAGATGAAGGCCATGCAAGAACATAGGAAGACAGACAAAGAGGATTTAATGGCCAAATTAGACGCAAACCAAGAAAAGGCGGCGGCCGACAAGGAAGAATTGAAGGCCGCAATGCAGTCTATGCGAACAGAATTGGATGATCAAATCCAACATAAAGTTGGAAACGTTTTGGCGATCGTTGAACACGACAAACGAAATCTCCAGGAAAACCTGACGAAGAACTACAACGAAACCTGAGCAGCAATTGAAGAAACTAAACGAGATTTCCAGGCCCTGTTGGAAGTGGTACAGACGAGGACCGAGAGGGGAATCACACCCACGGTCGTCGCCAGCACAGCTCAACCACCGACATTCAGGAATTCAACATGTAGTGTTCCGGCGACAATTCGAGACCGTAGCAGAACACAACCAATGGTCGGACAGGGAAAAATCAACATACCTGATTACTGCCCTGAAGGGTTGGGCGGCGGAAATACTGCCCGGCATCCCGGCAAATGCCACTTACGAGGAAACTCTTCAGGCTCTAGAGGACCGTTTCGGGGATCAACACTTTGCAGCTGCTTACCATTGCCAACTAAGAACGAGGACGCAGAGACCTGGAGAATCCCTGCAAGACTTTGCCACGGCCATTGAACTCCTTTCTCGTCGTGCCTACCCAAATCTACCTGCTGACCATATAGGAAGGGAGGCAGGAAAAGCCTTCGCATACGGTATACGAGATGCTGATATAAAGTTCCAGCTGCTGCTGGGAGGGGAGAAGACGGAAAACGAGGCCCTCCGACAAGCGCTAGAGCTGCAGACGGTACTGGTAGCAGCCAGACCTCACGGAGATAGCACAAAGTTCCGATCGTTCCCCAACCAACGGGGAGATGACAATAGACAGCACCAGGACCGAAAAGAAGGACCCACAAGAAATAAGCGGGAATCGCCGGAGAAATCAGAATGGCGACCCCGAAACAANGAAGAAGAAGTATCGCTATGGAGTCCTGGGGCAGGACCCCGTCCATCTAACTTAGTAGTGGCAAAGGACCACGTGATACCCGCACGGAGCGAGGGAATAGTGATGGCTAGAATGGAGAATTATCTGGGAGTAGAAAATTGTCTAGTAGAACCAACGCCCCCAGGCCCATCAGCATGAAGGAATCTACGGAGCCAGGACCCTTGTTCAGGACTGTCAAGAAGTACCAGTGAGAGTCATGAATGTTACCCACAAGGACCAAAAGCTCAGGAGAGGATCTCCTCTGGCGCACTGTGAGCCAGTAACACTCGTGGCTTTGCCCGAGCTGGGGCAGCCCCCAGCACCAG